ACACACACACACACACACACCAACCAGCCCCGAACATCTTCCCAGGCTAAATACTTACAATCCTTACCAAGTCATGCATCCTCCAAGTTTTCTTAATGCGGGTTGTCCATAAGGCAACCATCGCTAGACACACTTATAACCTGCATTAAGGGTACGTATGCCCGTACTTGCTAAGTCCCACGACCCCCCCCCCCCCCCCCCCCAATATGGGGGTCTTTGAGCAAGAAGGCCATCGAGCTGATGTTGTTCGGAGTTTGCTGGCGGGCCGGAGTGGCAAAGACAAGGACCGCGACTGCGGAGACTTCGCCCCGACCCCAAACCCCAAATCCCTGACCTGCTAGCAGTAGCCTCTACAAGCCCTGATAGCAAGGGTCGGGGGAAATAGTTGCAATGTTTTCTTATATTCCCTGTATACCTACCCCAATACCCCGTTCTAATTTTTTAAAGGCCCCTACATTACACCGTAAGGCCTTGAAATGTCGTTATGCGAGACAGTAAAGCGAGTAAGGCAGCGACATGAGGTCCATCATGAGGTCTTGCAGTCAGTTTGAGGGGAGTAGTCCCAGAGCCCTAGGTCCTGATAGCTGAGATGAGGTGTTTTAGGGTATAGGGTTTGGGGTTTNNTTTAGGGTTCAGGGTGTAGGGTGGGGTGAAAGCGATTGAGGAGAACAAAATAGGTGCTTTTCGTGTCCCTTGCTGTGGTTAGCGCAGGGTTTTACTAGCAGCCTCCAAAGCATATTCGTTTAGGGTTCCGTATTGTGTTTTCCTTGCCCTTGAAAAGGTAGCTTATTTGTGCTCAAGGTGGTGTTTAGGGTCCAGGGTTGAGGGGCTGCAGCTGGAGGTAGCTGCTGCGTTGACCGGGCTCTGTGCTAACATAGGGGCCTTAATCATTAGAGTAGGGTTTGGGGGCATATGATACTAAAATTACAATAAGGAACCCCCCAAAACCCTGTTCGAATTATGAAGGCCCCTAAACCCTAATCCCTTATAGTAGTCCTTATAGAACCCTCCAAGGAACCCTCCAAACCCTAAACCCTTATAGTAGTCCTTAAAGAACCCTTTAGGGAACCCTCTAAACCCTAAACCCTTATAGTAGTCCTTATAGAACCCTTTAAGGAACCCTAAACCCTTATAGTAGTCCTTATAGAACCCTTTAAGGAACCCTAAACCCTTATAGTAGTCGTTAAAGAACCCTTTAAGGAACCCCTTGTGAATCATCTTCTGTGAGGAGCTGAAAGGACTCATTGACTGAAAAGGGCCGCGCTGCATGGCATGGCATGTTGTGAGTACCCATAGGCCCCATAGTAGTTCCTTAGGCTTTAGGGTTTAGGGTTTAGGGTGATTACTTTATAGAAATCTAAATATGAACCCCAGAAAGGAACTACTATGGGGCCTGTGAGTAGAAGATTCGGCGTGAATTCGATTATTGCGGCGACTGGGTGGGGAGGGATCTAGGGTTTTGGGGGTTTCGGGTTTAGGGGTTTAGGGTTTTAGGGTTGAGGGGATATGACCCTAAACCACTATACCGTGTTGTTTTGTGCTGCTACGGTGGCTAGGTCTAGGTATGGTCACACTGCTTCTCCACGTTGTCTCCCCACCTGCGCATACCGGCAGGGACGTCCCGAGCCCCCTGCCAGACCATCACTTCTGAGTTAGTTTGAACTTGGTGCCTCTTGGGGTCCTAAGGTGTAAGCTTTGGGCATTAATGTTATCTGCAAGTGCCGTCGATGTATATCCCTGATTCACATCCATCTCCACCTGGCTCGAAACGGCCCCCATGAACTATCTCCCCGATAAGGCTGGCTTTAGAGCTTTCCCTCAACGGCACTCCAAGGGAATTCTGTAGAAGTTCTGGTCCTTCGTCTTGAATTGGGTGGCAGGGGTGTCAAGCTTCGGGCTAGCGGCTACAGTGCCTGTGAAGACATTGTAGAGCTCCGCCCATCTGGAAGAAAAATGTGCACTCGCGCATCCGGCACTGCTGTGGTGCTTGCATTTCAGGGTTTGAGTGAACCGACAGCCCTCTGTCCCAAGGCCTATTGCAAGCGCCACAACTTTTTGCTTGAGCTTTGGGAATTATGCAGCGATTGCTAACGTAGACACTGTCCAGGATTGCGTTTGCTTGTATGTACTATGCTAGGTGAACACGTGTTGGTAGATGGGCCATCTTTGGCTCCGTGATTTTTCTGCGGTTGCGACGTGGCGATAGACAGGCCACCTAGGCGCCAAAGTCTTTGGAGGCTATGTCGCGACGGCAATTCCGCTTTGATCCGGCTCAAACAGGACATGCGTAGGGATAGGAAATGGTAGCAGCAAGGTAATTATCCAGCAATTGCTTAGCTCACGATGCTTCGGTGATACACGTCGGAAGCTGTATGAGCAGACATACGAGGATGCACAGGGGGTATCTGCCATCTGGCATGCAGCGCTAAGCCCGAAAACCCAACCAGCTCTCCTCACCCCTAAACCCTAAACCCTAAACCCCTAAACCCTAAACCCTAAACCCGAAACGCTAAACCCTAAACCCTGAGCATAAGAGTTTGGACTCCGCTCCAACATTGTGACCAACCCCCTAAACCCTAAACCCGAAGCCCTAAACCCGCCAAAAGCCCAGAGAGCCCAATACCCTTTAATTCAGGAATGCACCATAATCCACAGCATTAAGGCCACTTCAATTTAAGGTATATTCCTTAATTTTGAAGGTATTGGGCTCCCTGGGGAGACAGGGGGACGCAACCGCCTGCAAAAACGCTCGTAGGGAGCTCCTTGAGCCCTTGCAGCAACGATGCTGCAAACCATGCGTCCCCTGCTCAGATAGAATTTTAGGGTTTAGGGTTTAGGGGTTTCAGGGTTTCAAGGTTTAGGGTTTAGGGTTTAGGGTTTAGAGTTGAGTGTTTAGGGCTGATTGAATGTTAGATAGAGGCTAGGTTTTTTTCGGTTTAGGGTCTAGGGCTTGTTACCAACTTTTTGTTTCCATAATTACGCCTTAGGGCTCCGTGAATTGTAGTGCAATGCATACCCCAACACTCACCCTAAACCCTAAACCCTAAACCCTAAACCCTAAACCCTAAACCCTAAACTCCTGAACCCTAAACCCTAAACCCGAAACCCTAAACCCTTAACCAACTATTAGGGCCTTTCCGTTTGAGTTTTGCGGGCTCAGCGCTTCGGCCCCGAGGCTCACTAGGACAGCGTGTCCTTAGTGGAGTGTCTTGTCATTCTTCTTCTTAGGGTTTAGGGTTTAGGGTTTCGGGTTTAGGGCTTAGGGCTTAGGGTTTAGGGTTTAGGATTTAGGGTTTAGGGGTTTAGGGTTGGGAGTTTAGGGTTTAGGGTTTAGGGTTTAGGGTTTAGGGTTTGGGGTTTAGGGTTTGGGGTTTAGGGTTGCTGCTGCGGTTTTGGTTGTTGGTGTCGTCCCTCGTAACCTCGTATGCCTTTTGCCTAAGCCCCTAAACCCCCAACCCTAGCCACCCTAAACCGAAAATCTCAACCTGGGACACGAAGCCCCTCTGTTTGAGCACCCTAAACCCTAGACCCTAAACCCTAAACCCTAAATCCTAAACCGTACCTTGGACCCGAAGCCCCGCTGTTTAAACACGAAGCTCTAGAGCCTGAAACCCGAGCACTTCAAGCCCGAAGCCTAACATCTGAAGCTTCTATAGACCCTCTCTCTCTCTCTATATATATATATATAAGCCATAAAGCCTACTTGGAGGTTAGGGTTTAGGGTTTAGGGTTTAGGGTTTAGGGTTTAGGGTTCAGGGTTCAGGGTTCAGGGTTTATAGGGCTTAGGGTAGTTATAAGTGGGGTCATAAGTAGGGTAACTATAACTGTAACCCCAATTGGGGGACTTAGAACCCCACTTATAACTACCCATGAGCCTCCAAGTACACTCCAAACGACTCCACCTTAAAGCCCTACACCTTCGACCCTGCAAAACCCCTAGAGAACCCTAAAAACACAAAGGACTCCTTAAAACCTAAACCCTGAACCCCAAGCCCCAAGCCCTAAACCCTAAACCCTAAACCCTAAACCCTAAACCCTAAACCCTAAACCCTAAACCCTAAACCCTAAACCCTAAACCCTAAACCCTAAGACCTAAAACCTAAGCCGGGCCGA